CTCTCCCTCCTCCGCTTCTTCTTCTTCTCCATCCTGGGCATCCAGCAGAGGGTCTGATACAAGCGAATGTCAAGAGAACCTGAGTAACAGAATGAGAAAATGGAGGCTAGATAGTAAGTATTAGTTTTTTGCCATCATCCTAGGCTTTAGATATGCAAATGTCCTAAAGGCAGAACAGGAAAGTGCAGGGAACAGCTCACCGCAGGTGCCTGACTCCATAGGCAGCAGGTGAGTTGGCTACTGTAGATAGCGATAATGATGGCAATAAAATGGTACCTTGGGCTGACCCAGAGCCACAGTCCACTCTTGTTTTCCACTGAGTCATCCCCGGCTGGGCTGGAGGGCAGGGATCACGGCTGAGTAGATGGTCAGGAAACAATGGCTGAGCTGGCTCCAGACAGGCTGATCCTGGCAGTGATTCACTCAGCTTGTGCCAATGGCAAGCACCTGGCCTCCAGATCACTCAGGTCTCAGGGTCCAAGCTCAACGCCCTGCACGGTGATCAGCCCAGACCTCTGTCAAGTTACAGACCTCATCTGGGCCTGCTTCCTCCTCTCTCTCTGGCCTCCCCAGATATGAAACATAGGTCCCACCTTAGGATGCTTGTGACAGAGACACAGTCCCCTCCCTTTGGAAAGCCTGAAGTTTCCTGGAGAGAGCATTATCTTCATTTCATGGTGCCATAATCATCTTTTTAGTTTTGTCATATTTGTCTTTATGTTCCTAGTACAAACCTCAGAGGTAGAACACACACAATGACTAAATACAAGAGGCCAGGCTCACTGGTATATACCTGCAATCCAGCACGCAGGAGGCTGAGACAGGAGGATCTCAACTTTGAGGGCATCATGAGTCCAAGGCTAGCCTGGGATATTTAAAAAAAAAAAAAAAGGCCTGGGCCATCTTTGTCAGAAGAGGAAGAGGAAGAGGAAGCAGCAGCAGCAGTGGCAGCGGCAGCTAAGTGTGGTGATGAACACCTGTAATCCCAAATTCTATTCTAGGAGACTAGGGAAAGGAGATTGCAAGTTAAAGCCCAGGATGGGATATTTAGCAAGTTGATGAGACCTGTGTCAAAATAAAAAATAAGAAAGGGCCAGGGACACAGCTCAGTCCAAATGTTTTGGGTTCACCCCTCGCAGTAAAAAGAAAGGGAAGAAATTTGAAAAGGACAAGGTAAAAATGATAAAGGGAAGCTTTAAAAAATTAAGGGAAGCTATTGGAGGATGGGAAAATTAAATAAGTTGAGGGGGAAAAGCAGTGGTGGGGCATGGAGGATGAGATCCTTAGTGCTTTGTTGAGGTTGGAGGAAGAGCGGGTAAGAGGCAGGAGGACAGGCTGAGGATTCAGCTAATTGAGGCTCTCAGGGAATGGGCATCGCAGTCACAGAATGACCCCAAATCCTTGTGTGGGTGAGGTCAGAGTGGCTGGTGTGCACCAGCGCGACTAAGAGGGCAGGGCAGAGCGAGGCCTCACCTAGATCAGGCTTCGGCCTCTGGTGGGAGGAGGGGAGCTCAGGGCTTGTTCTGGGCTCTAAAGGATGCTTCAGCTGGAGGATTTGATTAGGTTCTGGCTGGGGACACTAATGCAGGGGTAGTTGGATGTTGGGGTCACTACTGGGAAAGGGGGTGATTGATTAGTTGAGGTAGATGCTAGGCAGGATGGTTGTCCTGGATTTCTAAGCTCTGGGCAGACCCCAAAGATGTGCGGACACCGGGTCTGCCTCCTTGGAGAGCCACTTTTCTCTTTATCATAACATAGGGAGGATGAGGAGTGTGCTCTCGTGGTAGGGTGTTCTGTGTTGTGCGCCCCACCTTTCGGGGCCGAGCTGTACTGTGTGGCTTGGGTGCATGGGTCTGCTGCATGGTGCTAAGTGAGTGTGTCCAGGTTGCGCTTTTCTGATCTGTGTGGGGGTGGAGGGTCTGTTACATGAGCGTGTGTGTGTGTGTGTGTGTGTGTGTGTGTGTGTGTGTTGGGGGGGTTGTATGTCTGTGTAGGTGTGTCTGAGTTATACATCAGAGTTGCGTGTGTCTCTGTATGTTGAGTCTGACTTGTGTGTTTCTACTCTCTTGGGTGTCAGGCTTGCGAGTGGGACACTGGGTAAGAGACAGAGGTGTCTTCTGCTGGCACTGGGTGCTGTCCTGAATACATTGCCAGTTTAGCATGATGCTAACCTGGGGGCCTTGAGAAGGGTCTGGATGATGACTCTTAGACTGTTGTCCTTCAGAGAAAGAATGACCTCTCCCTGAGCAATAATTAACCTGGTACCTGTGAGGAGAATCCAAACTGGTGGCAAAGGGGTGGGCCCTTACTGCTGGAGAAAGGAGGAGGCCAGAAAGCCCTATAGGCATGTGTGTTGTTATCATCTCCTGCCCACCCTGGAGGTCAGTTACCCTGCAACTGGGTCAGAATATTTAGCAAGCATGGAGGTGCAGACACTGACCAATCAGAAAGGACCTAGCCATTCTCTGAATGGAGCAGTGCCCAAGGCCAGGGCTGAATGACCAGGAGGGTTCCAGGATGGGGGCTGGGCAGAGGGGCAGTGGAAGGAGACCCAGAAGCTCAGGGCAGTGGCTGTGAACAAACTGTCATCAAAGTGTTTCAGACTTTGACAGCTGGTGCAGCTGTCACTGTGAGCCGTCTCATCCCCGGGCCACCTCAATCTCCAAGATACATCCAAGCCAGCCCCAGGTCCTGGGTCCCTTCACATTGGGGGAATGATGGACCATTCCCCTCCTCCTCCTCCTCCTCCTCCTCCCATTCCCCTTCCCCTTCTTCTTCTCCTTCTTTTTGTACCAGGGATTGAACTCAGGACCTCGCACTTGCAAGGCAGACGTGGTGCCACTGAACTACATCCACAGCCCTGGACCATTGTCTTCTGTCAGCTGCAGAAATGGGGGAAAATGAATGTTCCCAAACCACAGAAAATCACAGTTATCTTGTCTATTTCAACTTGGAAATAGACTGTTTCTTGCCTGGCTGTGACCCCACTTTTCCTGAGGTGAAAGGAAGCCCATAGGAAGAGGGAACCCAGGAGGAGATTGGAAGATTTAGGGACAAGGGGAGAAACCACTTCCTCTCAAGGATAAAGGCAAGGAGGTGATGAAGCTTTGAACTGATACCATCCCTTGGATTCAGACCAGGCATAAGGTCAGTTTCACCCCTAGAAATGAAATCACCACCCCACTCTGATGAATCGATACTGCAGCTGCCCAAAGCTGGCTCCTGTGCTCCTGTGCTCCTCATGGTTCCTTCCCCTTGGACTCCTTCTGATAGGGGCAGAGGGGCCTCTGGAGCTGGGCTGGCCCCTTCCATGTGCACAAACATCAGACTCCAAGAGTGTCACACCTTTTATTACAAAAACAATAACTTAGTTCAGTTCTGTACAAAGTCAATAGGAATTCTGACACAAGGAGCAGCCTAAACTTCCATCCCCTTTCCAGGAGGGGACAGAAGTCTTGCTCCAGAGGCTCTGGGAACCATCAAAGTCCTGCTAGCTGACTGTAGCACTGTGTCCAAACCAAGGAAGTCCAAGTCTCTCCTGGGGCACCTGCCCTCTCAGGTCACCTCAGCAAAAGCATATCCTCAAGAAGTCCAGCGATGTCCATGTCTCCAATGATAGGGCGGAAGAAGAGGTCCCCAAGAAGGCTGGGGGGGATGCTCTTGAGGGTGGAGGCTGTGAGGAGGACACGGGCCAAACGGCCTTGGCCTGCTGGGTGCCAGGGCTCCAGGACTTCACACAGTGCCCAGTGTGCCTGCTGCTGCAGGTGCCCGATGTGGGAGGAGGCGTGGAGGCCTGGCACATCTGCAAGCAGAGAGGTGAAGAGTGCTGGTGAGCACCCATACCCAGCCACTGAAGAATGAAGCTGCTCCGGATCAAAGCTGCCAGCAGATGCCTCTCTGTGACCCCGCTTTCATTACAGTGCTAGGGTTGAACCCCAGAACCTCTCACATGCCAGGTAAGTGCTCTGCTACTGGACTGTACCCCTCAACCACTGCCACCTTTGCTTGGCCTTCGAGGCCTGCATTATTTATCATTTTAGTCATGCCTCCCATTTCTACAGCAATGTATAATAATGGTTGATAACCAGGCTGCCCAAGTTCGAGTCCCAGAGCTGACACTTATTAGCTTAATAAGCTAATTAATTAGCTGGGCAAATTACTTAATCTTTGTGCCTCGGTTTCTTCATCTGTAAAATGAGGATAATAATAATACCTATCTTGCTATGAGTCTTTAATGAGCCACTATATGTAAAATCTTAGAAGTGGGGCATGGTGGTGCATGCCTTGTAATCCAGCACCTGGCAGGCTGAGGCAGGAGGATCACCCCGAGTTGGAGGCCAGCCTGGGCAACATAGTGAGTTCAAGACCAGCGTGAACTACGTAGCAAGACTCTGTCTCGTAAAACAAAATAAAACACTCACCAAAAACAAAAACAAAAAACACCACCTTAGAATGAGGCCTAACACACGGCAAGTGTAACATTGGTGTTTGCCGTTGTTGCAGTGTATCACTGTGCTTTCTGCCACTGCCAGGAGGGGCTTGCAGTGGATGCACATTCTCCACCCCTGGTTCCCCTGGCTGGGTTTCACAAGCACTCCCTCCCTTCCATTCTTCCCACTTATGTGATCTCCTCAGAGGAGTTCAACCTTCAGAACGTCACCACACCGTATGCCCTTGAAGACAAGACTCGGACACAGCTGCTGCTGCCCCTACCCCCCACCCCCTCCCACACTCCCTGAGGCTCAGAGCAGACTTCTCAGGCCCAGTGGCCAAGGCCAGTTTACGGCATGAACAGCCTAAGTTCCCATCTCTTCTGTCTCTACCTGGCTGTGATACCTCCAGCTAGTTACTTGGCCTCTCTGGGCACTTTCTGTGGGATGGCTATTTGGTGGTAATGAGGACTGAAGAAGGTCTGGCCTTGTCTGGGAGCTCACCCGGATTGAAGAGGATGGTTCCTTTCAAGTAGGCGTACTCCTTAGGGCCCAATTTAAGGCTCCAGAAGGACTCCAGGCAGCACTGAAGCCACTGCACAGCAGCCAGGGAGGGCTGGGGCCTGTCGGGCATCTGGCCGCTGCCAGCACTGCTGCTGGGCTCCTCCAGCAGGATCTTCTTGAGTATGCTGGGGACTGGGGCCTCGGCCACCTCAAAGGTTATAGTGTCTTGGGCCAACCCAAGCAGGAAGAGGGGGCCCCAGCATCCCTGCAGCAGCCGCCGCTGGTCTTGAGGAGGTAGCTGGCTGAAGGATGGCAGGTTCCTGAGGAAGGCCACCGTCTTGGCCAGGACATCCAAGGCCTCCCGGCAGGTGCGATGAGGAGCACACAGGCGGACGGGCCGGTGCTGCCTACACTGGCAGCGGCTGCGGGATGGCGGGGAGGGGGGCCTGGCTCTGAGGCCGGGGCTCAGAAGTGCATGCAGAATGGCTGGACGGCCCACAGCACCCTGGCACGGACAGGCTCCTGGCTGGCTGGAGCTCATGGTGGGAGACCTGCTCTTAGTTCTCCCCAGCTCTCTGGCCCTCTGAGCTGTGGTGTGGGAGCTATTTATATCCCCAAAGGGCGGAAAGGGGACTGGCCCGACAACCTTGACTCTAGAAGTCATGTTCATTGAAAAAAAACAACGCACACACACTGACCCTGGTAGGACTGGTGGGAAGGGGGGAGGGTATGTTGGGAGCTCCACGTGGCATTGATATCGCCTCAGTCAATGAAGCGGCTGGTGCAGGGCACAGGGCTGCCTGCCCGCTGCCAGGCTGCCCCTTATCAGATGACTCAAGTAGATAAACAGGGTCATTAACCCAGGCTGTACCAGGGCACCAAGGCCTCAGGTGCACAATCAGCAGGTGGCTGTCACTGGTGTTCTATTGGTGCCCACTCTGAATGTGCGCACAAGCCCCGGGTTCTCGCTAAGGCAGGAAGCCAGCCACAGAGTTGGACAAGCCTTGAACCCAAGGCCCAGCCTGGAAGTCCCTTATCGCTAGTTGTTTGCCTAACCTTGGGGCCCTGTTCCTGTTGTCGGTAAGGAACAGGCTGTAGGGAAGGGAGCCAGATCCTGGGGGCTGGGAGGACTTTGCCCAAGGTACATTTGAGAGGCCCCTTCCTCTGACTCCTCTTCTGGGGGCCCTGTATGAATAAGGTCTTTCAGAGCCCCGAGCCCAGCTTGGATTCCTGCAGCTCCTTAAGAGGCTGTGCCATGAATGACCAACAAACACAGCTGTCATTTATCGAGCACCTACTATGTGTCAGCCACATTCCACTCTACTATTGAGAGCTTCCCTGCACATAGATTTTTCCTCTGTGAAGAAGAAAAGGGGAAGTGCTTTCTTCACTCTGACAGGAAGGGACAGAGCTCAGATCTATCTGACCTCAAAGTCCTTGCTTGTTCCTCTATATCAGCTGGCTTAATTGTGCAGAGACCTGAGTTTCACAGAGTGAGTGGCCACTGCCATGCCCCTTGCTGTTGCTGGTGTGCAGATGTCACAAGTCTGTACACCTGTGGTCTGGGCCCTAGATTTCAGGGGTATGGATTAGGGAAGGGTGGGAGGTCCTCAGTTAGGCCGTGTCCCTGGACCTTGGCCAGCCCAGCCTGGCAGGCCTTCTGTGGCCCTGGTGCCCTGGATGGGGAGAGAAAGGCTCTGACACTGCCAGCCCTGGCATCTGCTCCTGGGCTCATCACATCGCAGTTGAGTGATCTGGGGATGATCCTCAGTCATCTCTGAGCCTCAGAGCCTCTGGGACAATAAGCTGACTTGCAGGATTGCTGTGGGGACAGAGTGAGGTCCTGGATGTCAGGTGAGAGTGGGCCCACTGTAGAGGATGAGTGCTTAGCTTCCTGCTCTCCTCTTCTTTTTTTTTTTGGTTTTTTGAGACAGAGTCTCACTATGTAGTTCAGACTGCTCTGGAACTCACTATGTAGCCCAGGCTGGTCTCGAACTCGCAGCAATCCTCCTGCCTCAGCCTCCCGAGTGCTGGGATTATAGGCGTGCGCCACCACGCCAGGCTCCCTGTTCTCCTCTTCTGAAGAATGAAGCACAGCAGACCAGTAGGCATGCATCTTTTGGGGATTTTCTTCCCCCAGGAACTCATACCAAGCTACATCTCCAGCCGTTTTATTTTTCATTTTGAGGCAGGGCCTCAATAAGTTGCTAAATTGCCCAGGATAGGCTCAAACTTGTGATTGTCCTCCCAGAGAGGCCTGTGCCACCACACCTGGCTCTCGGTCCTTCTTGATATTTCCTATCACTTTCGTCTATTCCACGGTCACTCTAGTAGTTTGCTTAAGGTGACCTGCCAGGCTTTACCACTGTAGTTATTCACTCTTTTTACCCTTTGTAATGTATCAGCATTTTACTAAGAGATTTTGAAACTATGAAGATACTCTTGTGAATGTTTGTATGTATGTGTTTGTTTGTTTGTTTGTTTGCTTTTATGAGTATGAACTTGTGGTCTCTTATGTTATCCAGTAGCTTGTAAAGTGTTACTGTTTACATTGGTGGTCAGATCATCACAAAGTTGGCCGATGGGAGCCCCTTTAAGCTTGAGTGTCTGTGTGTCTGTCTGTCTGTCTGTCTGTCTGTCTCTCTCTCTCTCTCTCTCTCTCTGTACCTCTCTTTTTTTCTTTCTGTACTTGAGATCCAACTCAGGGGTGCTCTATCACTGAGCTACAAACCCAGCCCCTTTCAACTTGTGACAAGTTCTCCCTAAATTACCCAGGCTGGCCTTAAATTAGTAATCTTCCCATTTCAGCCTCCAAGTAGCTGGGATTACAGGTGTGTGCCACTGCACCTGGTCTGGAGTCTGTCTCTTTTTGACACCTTCTCATCATTCTTTGAACATTCCTTTACTTTCTCCCATAACAAGATACCAACTTTTCAAGCTCTAAGAATGAACCAGTACTCCACAGAGCTCTGATTCTGGGTTAAAGGTATAGCTAGCTCAGTTGTAGAGCACTTGTCTAGCATATGTGAGACCCTGGGTTCAATCCCTGGCATCACACACACAAAAAGAAATTATTCTTGATAGTTGGGATACATAAAACACTTCACACACAGACATATTTTCTATTTGTAGTACTGTTTAAAAAATGTGTGGTAGAAATTTTGTTTGTTTTTGTTTCATTTTGATTTTGTTTTTTTGAGACAGGGTTTCATATGTAGTTCAGGCTGGCCTTGAATTCACTATGTAGCCCAGGTTGGTCTTGAACTTGAAACAATCCTTCTGCCTCAGCCTCCCAAGTGCTGTGATTACAGGCATGCACTACCATACCTGATTCTTCTGGTAGGAATTTTGATAAAATTTACTTAGTGTAATTTTTTCAAAAAAAGAAAAAAGAAAGAAAAAAAGCAAGAAGGAGAACTAGGCTGAGGTTTTTTTGCTTGTTTGTTTTTGTTTTGCTACCAGGGATTGAACTTGGGACACTGTGCTTGCGAGGCAGGTGGCGGAACCACTAAGCTAAATCCTCGGCTCTGAGGCTGAGGTTTTAGTCAGTGGTTGAGCACTTTCACAGCATGTGGGAAGCCCTGGGTTTCATCCCCAGCACCCCAAAAATAAGAGATTGTGGCATAGGCCTATAATTCCAGTACTCCGGAAGACTGAGAAAGAGCACACGTTCAAACCCCAGCGGGCAACTTAGCAAGATCCTGTCTTGAAGTAAAAAGTAAAAAACTGGGTCAGGGATGTAGTTCAGCACAAAGACCCTGGGTTCAAGCCCCAGTACTAAAGAAAAAAGAAAGCTATGCAAAGAACATCTAAGGCTAATGACTGTGTATTCTGTATTCTCCTTCTGAGAGAGAACTTCCTTTCTGAGTCAGTGTCACTATGACAAGACAATTTATACACGTGATGACAGAAAGAATTTCTGGTGTGCTGGGAATCATTCATGTTGGGATGAGACCTCTGGCTCTGCACACAGTGGGTCATGGCACACAGGAAATGATAGGATTATTTCTAGATTTTTTTCTGTCTACACCAGGACAGCGTGAGGGACACCAGCTAATTCTATCCCACTAAGTACAAACTAAATGCATCTCCAGCTAAACTTCCCTTTAGTTGGACCTGAGCCTCCTTGTGGCCTCTTTGACATCATCTGATTCTTCAGAAAATCAGATAGAGTGGGCAAAAACAGTGATCTTAACTAATTGTAGTTTAAAATTTTTACTTTTTTAAGTAAAAAAGAAAAAAAATATGTATTTAACCTACAAAGACACAGTTGGGGCTTTTCCTAGTACCTAAGATGCGCCTGTGTGTAAATGCAGGGCCCTAAATTTGTAGGGTTGAACATGGAAATGAGAGCCTCACCCCCGCCAGGCAAGCGCTCTGCCCCTGAGCTATACCTGCAGCCACAGCCTCTCAGCCTCACAGGAAATCTGCTCTCTCAGTGCTTTCCCCTAGTGTCTGTGAGGGCACACAGTGAGTGCTCTGTAGAGGATGACACTTGTCATCATGGTTGTTGTCATCTCCGTTCTCTGGGACAGGAAGGTGAAGAGGGAGATTTTGGGAAGCTTTCTGGAGGAGAAGTTCAGGACCATACCCTTCCATCTGTTTAGCACTTTATGGTTTACAAAGTAATTTGACAGCACAATCATCTATAAATCCTCATGTAATAATGGAATGGAAGTGTTATTACCAAGCAAAATTGATCACTGTAATTCTGTTTTTTTTTTTTCACTTTTCTTTTTTGGTACTGGGAATCGAACCCAGGGCCTCAAGCTTTCCAGGCAGGCGCTGCGCCGCTGAGCTACATCTCTGGCCCAAGATCACTGTAATTCTAGTAACTGCCATGAATTGGGCACGTACTCTGTGTCAGTCAGGTAACGGGCTGGGGATTATCTGTAAAATTAAAGTGCACACCTTCAGGCAATGTATGTGCAAGTGCTTACAAAATCCCATGTCAGGGAGCACGAGTACAGAGGCCTCAGACTCATCGCTGTGACAAGAAGTCATGGGGCTGCAGAGGGCCTGGGCTAAGAAATGGAATTGGGAGTTGGAAGGCCTTCTGCCTTTTTGGTCCTTGAACAGATTACATACCTTCTTTGTACTTCCAAGCATCTGCCTATGCCAGTGATGGTGAACCTATCGCTTGTGTGCCACAGCGGGCTGTTTGTATCACTGAAAGGTCTAAAAAGTTCGCCATCACTGGCTCATGCTGTTCCCCTGCCAAGGGTGCCTTTCCCTTATCCTTTGAGCTTGCCAAATTCCTGTGCAATTTATGCAATCCAGCTCAAAATGTTACCTCTTTGGCACAGGCTTTCCTTTTCCACCCCTGGGAGGAAGAAAGTGCTCCTTTCTGTGTCCACAGGGCGCCTGGCCCACACCCCTTAATAGAACACTTAGTACAAGGTATTGTGATCACCTTGGTCCCTGCTGTTGGAAGTGTTCAGTGCCAATGGAGCCAGAGGTCATCAAGGGTGATTGTTCACCAAGAGGACTTCTTGGGCCACATATGTTACCTATGTGAACTCACCACAGTTCAAGATTGGGGCTTGGCCTCTTAGGGAAGAGTCACAGCATATAAATAGTGCCCTGAGCTGATTTATAAAAGGAGAGTATCAGCTCAGGCAGGCAGAACCCTAAGGTGAAGAAGGCAAGGTGTAAATACTGGGGTCGGCTATGTGGGTTTGAATCCTGACTGTCCTTTCAGCCATGTGAATATGGTCACATGACTTCATTTCTCTTCATTCCCAAATGAAAATAAAAACAGTATTTACATCATAGGAATATGGTAATGCTTCTAAAGTTTTCAGTGTAGCGCCAAACATTTCACAGAATGTCAATAAATTTTACTGACATATGTAGTGAGAGTCAGTGGTATTAGGTAAAGACCATTGATTCATTCTCCAAATGTGTATTAAGGTTCTACAGTATTTGAGACTCAGATGAACCAGACAGGTGTTAGCTTCCATGAATTTATATTCTCGTGAGAAGACATGGATGTGAAACCAAAAATTTTTAATTGTATATTTATATATTTTTAACCAATTGTAGTAATTAATTACAAGAAATGAGAAGTAATCCCAATACTCTTGGAGGGTGAGGCAGGAAGACTGGGAGTTTCAGCTCAGCCTGGGCAATATAGAACTTAGGGAGATTCTGTGTTTAAATAAAAAATTGAGGGCTGCGGATTTAGCGCAGTGGTGCCGCCATCTGCCTTGCAAGCGCAAGGACGTGAATTCAATCCCCAGTACCAAATAAATAAACATAAAAAATTGAAAAGGGCTGGAGATGTAGCTCAGAGTGAAGGCCCTGGGTTCAATCCCCAGTAGCACACACACACATACACATGTGCACATGCACACACATGAACACAAAAGCAGAGGACACTTAGAAAGCAAAAATCATGGAGAAGGAGGCTTAAACTGTGGATCAGTTGCAGTAGAAGCCTGGCAGAGGAAGAGGAATTTGGGTTGAGACCTGATGGATGGGAGGGAGTCGGCTGGCAAAGGCCAAGGGATGAGAACAGGGATGTGAGGAAGTAAAGGAAGGCGGTGAAGAGTAAAAAAGGGAAAGGGCAATGAGATGAGGCTGGAGAGGCAGGCAGGACCTTGATGGCCTTGCTCCTCGGGAGCCACAGCTGGGTTGTAATTTACTCTGAATGCAGTGGCAATCCACTGAGGGCTGATTTTAAGCAAGGGAGTAACAAGATCTGGTTTTTACTTTGGAACAGTGGTGGTGAATCTATGGCACATGTGCCATAGCCAACTGTGGGTAATCATTGAAAGCTCTAAGAGGTTTGCCATCACTGCTTTAGAAGGATGGCTGCTTGGTGGAGGGTAAAAGGAGGCAGGGAGAGTAGTCAGGAAACTGTAAAAGTAGTTGTCCAAGCAAGAGATGATACTGCCTTAGCAGGCATGGTGGTCCACATCTTTCCTCCTGCCTCAATTGTGCTACTATGCCTGGCTCATTTTAGCCGTTTTGAAGGTATAGGTCAGTGGTATTAGGTACACTCATGTGTTACACTACCATCCATCTCCAGCTCTTTCAATCTTCCCAAGGCCATGTGGGTTTTTCCCCCACTAGCCATGTGGGTTTTAAGATACCTGTAAGACATCCAAGTGGAGTCATCCAGGAGGTAGGCAGACAGATGAAGCTGGAGCTCATGGGAGGTCTGGGTGGGAAATACCATGACTATGTTAGTTACTTTTCTCTCCCTGCTGCCGAGACAAAATACCTGACACCCAAATTTAAAGGGGAAAGAGTTTATTTAGCTCACAGTTGGTAGAAGTTTCAGTCCATGATCAGCTGGTTCCAAGGCAGGGTGGCACATGGCAGAGGGGCATCTCAGAGGAACCCACATGGTCACAAAAGCAACAAGGTAAACTTCACAGCATCATCCTGCCCTTTTTATCTTACCCAGACCACCGAGATTAGGACGGTGCCAAACTGATCACTCATGTGTAGTGGTTTAGTAACCACACACCCTCAATTCCAGCATCATACATTCCAGATTCACCAACCTCTGAAAAAGACCGCATGAGGCTGTGAGGGGACATTCAGGCACAGGCCACAATGACATTATCTAAAGAGAAGGGCTACATAGAGAAAAAAGAGGACAGAGCAGGAGGCAGAGCCTCCACCATTTACAAGTCCAGGCAGCACAGCACACTGAGGAAGAGTACTCATGACAAAAGCATAAAACCAGATAAGCGTGGGACACAGAAACTGTATTGGTCTGCTAGCGTACTGTAAGAAAATACCAACGATGAAGTGGTTTAAACAAATTTAAACAGAAATTTGTTTTCTCAGTGGGCATTGTGGCACATGCCTGCAAACTCAGCGCTTAGGAGGCCGAGGCAGGAGAAGTGCTTCAAGTTCAAGGCCAGCCAGGGATACATAATGAGTTCAAGACCTGCCTGAAATACATGGAGACCCTTTC